ATTTATATAAATGATTCAAAGTCTTTTTTTCTTCTTTTTCATTAGAGTCAAAGGGAAGAATGAAAATAATTATGAAATTTGATATTAAACTAAAATAAACATCTTATCTATTTAATCAATCAGATGAATATATATGTTTAAGTTTGTACTTGGTTATGGAGATCCCTATGTTTATAAAAAAAAGTATAAAACATAGTTATATTGTTATCAACATTCATTTTCATATAAAGGAATAACAAATGTACTTTGGTGAAAGAATATACAGAATATTTCACATCAAAATGTATCACAGGAATTGAAATGAAATAAAAATGCTCACACCCAATGTGTTATTTTTTATTAAACAAAAAGAAATAATAATAATAAAAGAGGAATAATATAAAATGAATATTTAATCATTTTATTTCTATTATTTCATTGATTTATTTCATTATAAATAGAATGAATATGATAATGTATCAAATTAAAAAAAACTAATTAATGAATATTATTATTATAAAAAGAAATGAATATAAACAATGCATTTAATGAAAGAAAAATGTATATTTGTATGAAATTAACAAATAAATATTTACAACATATAATAAATGAAATGTTACAATATTTGTAATGACAAAATAACAACAATTGAAGATATAATAATAAATTATATTGTAAATATGAAAATACAAATTAAACATGAATTAATAATTGATATGTCAAATGATGAGAATAACCAAATTGAAATATAAAATAAACGTAATGAAAAAATGGAGAATAAAACATGAAAATAAATTGAAATTAAACAACAATAAAAATGAAATTATTAAAGACAAAAGAAGAAGAGAAAATAAAGAAATATTCAATGAATTGAAACAAAATAATCAATAAAAGTGAATATTTCATAAAAGACTAGACATTTATATAGAAGATAAAACAAAGAATAATAAATGACATGATAAATGGAAGTGATAAAAAAGATAATTCTGACATTTACTAATAACCTTGAAATGGATAAAATATTCCAAAAAATTAAGACAATTTAATAAATTAAAATAAAAGTAATTACAATAATAATGATAATAAATGGATTAGTCATTAAAGAATAATGAAAGAACAAGACATTATAATTCAATATGAAATAATTGTGAAAAATAATGAATAAGAACATGAAATAGCAACGAAATATCTAATGAAATAATTGTTGTAAAATATAGATATAGAAGTATGTCATGAATAATAGTCTGAAGATAATGAATGAAATAATCTCACCTGAACAAAATGAAGAAAAAAAAACAGTATCTACTAAAACTTTAATTTATTCATTTTTATTTAATAAAACGCATATAGGTAGTATTAACTTCTTCAGGGAAGGAATAACAATAAAATACTTTTTGATAGTGTTAATTTTGCTCTGTATCTTTTTTATCTTTTAGGCTACTCCTTTCTTTTTCTTTCTCATCTTTACAGTTTATAGATTTAATACTAATATATCAACCATTTTTACTCTATGGTATTGAATTATTTATGTCATCTATTTAGTGTGTTTTTTTGAAACATCTTCAAAAATAATAATCAATTAATTAGTTAATGTTTTATTGATTCTTTACTTTACGGGTTATTCTTTCCATTATTCAGTTGTTATAATAATATTAAGTAAAACGACGATCAACAAAATTTGTTCTATTCCCTCAATCGAAAATAAATTCTAAAATAAAAAAATTAAATAAAAAAATATAAAACTTGGAAATTTAAAGAAAATGAGTGATGAACGTCCGTTGGTAGAACAACGCAAATTTGCAAAACCATTACCACAAAATCGAGTTAAGACATTAAAAAAAGAACAAAATAACAAAGGTCATTTTCCAGTTATTGTTGAAGAAGATAAAAGTGGAAGAAAATCACCATCATTACTTCAAATGGTTTCAAAGACAAAATCTAAAAGTAAAGAAGACCTTAGCAATTCAACTCCAACAACTCCTGGGAAGAAAGGAGTTGATAAAGAAAATAGTCATGAAAATAACAATACAAAAGACCAAGGAAGACAAACAACAAAAGATATTGTTTTAATTACTGGAAACACAAAAACAGAAGAAATTGAAGAAAAGAAAATAGACTATAAACCTCGTCAAGCAATTCGTACATCTAAAAATCAAGATAATTCTTTTGATGAACCTACACAATCCAACGGATCTACACAAATACCAAGTGGGATTGTACTTAGTGTAAAACATACACATCATATGAATAGTAAGACAGAATTGTTAGGATTTATTCAAGATGTTCGTGTTAAAGTTAATGATCAGTGGATGGTCAAAGGAGTAGTTAATTTAACATCAGTTTGTTATTGACAATATAAATTAAATAAAAGAAAGAATAAACATAAAACTCAATAAAATAGTTAAATGGATTTGTATATTTTGATTTTATTCCAATTAAAATGGAGTCAATATTTGATCTTTTATCAAGACATTGGCAAAATCCAGTAAATGATATTAATGAATATAAAGTGGATTTTTGTTTTAGAGATTGTATTGGTATTAAATATAAACAAACAAGAAAAAGTTCATTATTAATGCCACAAATGATTTATGAAGTTTCGTTCGAATTTAGCAGTGTTTTACCATTTAGTATTCCTATATATCAATTTGAATCAAGCGAAGGTATTGAACTTATGTTGAAAAGTATAAGTAAAAAGGGAATTAAATTAATTCTTGATAAAGGAGATGACAAAGAAGGATATTATAAGGTTGAAACTAAATTATGTAATAATGAATCATTTAGAAAATCTATGTCTATGATTTGTTTGTATACTAAAAAAGTTAATGAAGACCCAATTAGAATTACTTCAAGAAAACAATGGATGAATAGTCATACATTAGATATTTCTTCTTGCACTATTAAATATATTGAAGTACATAATCAAATGAACGAAGTTAAAAATGCTGTTAAATATGTTGGATGTGATGATGAATCAAGGTGTATTGCTTGGATGATTTGTGAAGGAGAAATGAAAGACTATTCAAAAAAAAATGATGTATTAAACCTTTGGAAAAAGAAATATGAAACACTTCAATTACAATGGAATTCTTTCTTTCCTGAACAAAAGAAAAGATGGAAAGACATTAATTCAATTGAAACACAAATTGAAAAAGATTTAAATAGAACTGTATTAAACAATGTTCAATGGACAGATAAACCTGTAGAGGCACTAAAAAGAATATTAATGTGTTACGGGATATATGATATGGAAACAATGTATGTACAAGGGATGAATGAAATTTGTGCATTATGTATGGAATATAGTAAAAATGAATTAGAGTCATTTATCATTTTTTATTTAATTATGAAACTAATAAGACCATTTTATCTTATTCAAACAAACGCATCAGCAAGTCTTAATAAACTTCAAGTAATTATTCAAGTTCTTGATAAAGAAATAGCAGATGCCTTTAGTAAAGCTCAAGTTGATTATATGTTTTGTTGGAGAAGTATTGCTTTATTATTTAAGCGTGAATTAAATCCACAAGACATTAAGAGAGTATGGGATTTTATTCTTGCAAAACCAGAAGATAAAATGTTTTTATTTGTTATGGCTGCAATACTAAGTATGCACCGTGAATTTATTTTAACTCAAGACTTAGATTTTGATATTATGATGCAATTCACATTAACACTAACAAATGTATTTGACTATCAATTAATCTGGGATGCTGATATATTATGCAATGAATTTAAATCAAAAGCATCTAAAGAACAAATCGATATTGTCTTTGGAAATTGAATAATTTGTTAATCATTTCTTTTTATCCTTTGTAAATAAATAAGATACATCAATAATTTTATATTAAAAAGTATTTGGTATTATTATATTGTTTCACAAAGTTCATTCAATTATTATAAAAGGGAATTAGAAATTACATGGTTGGAAAATATTCATTCCATCCCATGCAGTTGATACAACAACTCCTTGTATTTGTTCATGCCAATGTGCTTCTTTGATTCCTTTTTGCCCTTGATGAAGGAACATCAACTGTGGTGGAATTTGTTCAATTTCTTGAATATGATATTCTTCAGCAACTTCTCTATCAGCTTCCATTGATATATCCCAGAAACTAATTGAGTCATCTTCACTTGATGCCAAAAATGAACTTTCATCATGTGGACACCATTCAACACTAGTGATTGCTTTTTTATGCCAATTAAATGTAGCATAAGGAAAATCAAATTGTCTAAAGTCCCAAACTTTAAGCTCTCCATCATCCCCACCAGAAACAATATAAAAGGGATTAATTTTATTCCAATTTACTACGTTAACATCACAATTATGCGCAATAATACTTTTAACACACTGTTTCTTTGTTCTAGCATCCCACAACCTAATCGTGTGGTCAACAGAACAACTTAAAAATACATCAGCTTCTTTTGGTGACCATTGAAGATCTTCAACACTACTCTTATGACCCATATAACTCTCTGGACTTCCTCTCCATTCTCCTCCTCTTTCTTCCCATAACATAATTCTACCATTTAATGTTCCTGTAATTAATCTTCCTTCAACAACAGGTGACCAATCTAATGCAAACCCTTCACATCTATGATGTAAAGTTGACTTTAACTCATTTCCACTTGATACTATTCCACCATCAACACCTTTAATATGAGATGACATATCATAGATATAAACATTTCCATCCTCTCCCCAAAGTCCAACAATTCCAGGTCTTTGTTTCATTGTTCTACATCGATTAATTCCACAAGGAATTAAAGCGCTAGAAGTAGTTAATATTGGGTCAGTATAATCAAGGTCCTCTTCTATCTTTGGTTTTAGAGGATCAGCGTTTTCACTATCATCTTCATCTTCTTCATCTTGGTGAGTGATACACATTCCTTCAGCTTTGACAGTATACACCTTATTCTTTTTTCCAGAAGCTGCATTTGTCCCAGCAGCAAAATATAAAGTATATGGGGCAGTAGTTCTTAAAGCACCTAATGTATCTGGGATGATATCAAAGGATAAACAACTCCATTCAAGACTTAATTCATGAAGCATTTTGTAAGCTCCACCAGAAACTTCTAATTCAACATTTTCCTCTTCCATAGCATTTTCTGCTTGTGGATTAGTTTGATTGGGAATATATACTTCAGTTTCAACTTTTACATTATCTTCTGGGTCTTCAATAACATCCTTTTCAAATCCTTTTATGTCTCCTAAATCGGTTTCTTCAATTCCATCATCCATTTTTGTTTCTTTTTCCTCATTTTGTACAATCTCTTCTTCTCCCTCTTCTTCAGGTTCAACTTCAGCGTCAAACTCATCTTCAAGCTCTTCCATTAATTCATCATTATTTTCTTCATCTTCTTTAACTTCAATTGGTGTTGTTAATGTCTTTTTGCTATTAACAAAATGTTTACTCATATCAACTCTATTTGCTTTTCGTGCTTTTCGTGAATTTCTGTCCATTCCTATGCCCCAATCAAATGATATGAATATTTAAATTTTAGGGTTTCTTTCTATTTCAAAATAATTCATTTCACATCTATTTAAAACTTGTTGAGGGTTTATTTAAATCACAAATTTTATGTTTTGTGTTTTAAGAGAAAATTAAAGAAAAAAGAATAAAGAGATTATAAACAAAAATTCTATATCTTAAAAAGAAGAAATGGAGGAGCAAGTTTGTAAGTATATATATTGAATAAAAAAAGTGAGTAAATTAGTTAACGTCTATAGCAAAATAGTATGAAATTAGTCATTGTTGGTGATGGTGCTGTCGGAAAAACATGTTTATTAACTCGATACCGTTTAAATACTTTCCCTGAAGACTATGTACCAACTGTATTTGAAAATTTTGTCGAACAAGTATCATATAAGAAAGGTCATATTAATTTACAAATGTGGGACACTGCTGGACAAGAAGATTTTGATAGAATTCGTAATAGAGCTTATCCTGATACAGACGTTTTTCTCATTTGTTATGCTGTTGATGACCAAAATTCATTTGAGAATATAGAAGTTAAAGTTTGTTTATGTTTTATTTCTTCTGACTTGCTTGTTATTATTTATGCATTGCATTTTTTCTTGTTTCTCAATTGAAAAGACAGTCATTAATAAGTAGTGGATTTCAGAAGTAACTCACTTCTGTAAAGATGCAAAGGTTGTACTTGTTGCTACAAAAAGTGATCGAAGAAAAGACAAAAGTACAGATTGTATCTCAACTGCAAAGGGAGAAGAATTGAAAACAAAGATTGGTGCTGCTGCTTTCTGTGAATGTAGTGCTAAAACAGGATCTAATGTAAAAGAAACTTTTAAAGTAGCAATTGACGTTGTTCGTGGAAGAGCTGAAGAAAAGGAAAAAACAAGCAAAGAAGGATGTGTTGTTGTTTAAGCAAATTATTCCTTTTTTTCAGAAAAGGAAATTTAACTCCCTACTAACAATTCACAGTTTATTTGTTATATTTCTAAATTTTTGTGTTATTTAATTTTTTAAGAATTTGTTTTTCTTGTGGTTGTGTTGAAGTATTAGAGAATTAAATAAATAATAAAATAAATAATAAAAATAATAAAATGAACTTAAAAAAAGAGAATTATAAAAAGTCAAACAAATTAACTATGGAAGGAGGAGAAGATGATTATGGATTTTCATTAACAACATTCAGTCCCAGCGGAAAATTAGTTCAAATCGAATATGCACTTAATGCTATTTCTGCTGGTTCAACTAGTGTCGGTATTAAAGCTAAAGATGGAATTGTATTAGCAGTAGAAAAGTCATTACCACCAATGTATATAAGTGAGTCAATACAAAAAATTAATCATTTATGTGATAGTGTTGGAATGGTAAGTAGTGGAATGGGACCTGACGCTCGAGTATTAGTAAAAAAAGGAAGAAAAGAAGGACAAAAGTATTGGTTAGAATATCAAGAAGATATAAATTGTTCAATGATGACAAGAAAGTTAGCATATTTAATGCAAGAATATACTCAAAAAGGAGGTGTTAGACCATTTGGAGTCAGTGTGTTAGTTGCAGGATTTGATGGTAAAACACCACGTTTATATCAAGTTGATCCAAGTGGGTCATTTTGGACTTGGAAAGCAACAGCACTTGGAAAGAATATGGCATCAGTTAAGACATTCTTAGAAAAGCGATATCATGATGATATTGAGTTAGAAGATGCTATTCATACTGCTATTTTAGCATTAAAAGAGGGGTTTGAAGGAGAAATGAATGAACATAATATTGAAATTGGACTTTGTACAAAAGAAAATGGGTTTAAAGTGTTAACACCATCAGAAATCAGAGATTATTTGGATATTGCCAATTAAATCGTTTAATTTCATTTTCTTCAAGTTTTTTAGTTTTTGTTATTATAAATTATAGTTTATTTGTTTTGTTATAAAAAAATAATTTTAGTTATTATTTTCTTGTTTAATTCAAAATGAGGTATTACTTCATTTTAATTACTTTTTTTATCCATTTTGTTATTTCTAGTGGTATAGATGCTTGTGATACAGAGCACAGTGGCTCAGATGAGTATTGGTATATCCCTGAATTATCTACACTCGAAACTATCATTGGAAGTTTAATTCTTATATTTACTACAGTCTCTATTCTTCCTCAAATTATTAAGATTATTAGAAAAAAGACAAGTGAAGGTTTATCACCAACTTATCTTTTCTTAATGGTTTGTAATCAAATATTTGCTACAACAAACTCAACTATTTTAAATTTTCCTTTTATGGAAAGTTGTTCTGATATTGGTTTATCAAAATGTCTTCCTCCACTTCTTTCATATTTTCAGTTTGTCTCACTTGTAATAATGGGATTTATTGAATATACATTGTTCCTTTTATTTTATCAAGGCAAACACTCACTTGCCTTTAAACGGGTAATTCTTTATTATATTATTATTATTTTATTCTTTGTCTTTGCCTTAATTATGGTGTTTATTAGTTTAACTAAAATCGGTATCTGTGAACCATTTACTTATTATTTTGCTTATGTTTTCGGTATTCTTTCTTCAGTTGTAACGTTCGTTGAATATCTTCCACAACTTTGGAAAACTTTTTCAACAAAAAGTGGTGGTTCAATGTCATTAAGTGCTAATACTTTTCAAACAATTGGTTTTCTAGTTGTATTATGCTTTATGTTTTTCTCTACTGAACAACATGTCACAACAATTCTTTCTTCTGTAGTTTCTTTAATTCAGCACTCATTACTTGTTATTATGCAAATCAAGTATGACTACATTGATTTCTATTTGTGTAATAAACACCATAAAAAAATTGAATCTCCAGATATCTCCCAAAATGAAGAAACAAAAAGACTTATTGACTCACAAAACTAATTTTAATTTTTTTTTGTTATTCTTTCAGTTTTGGGTTTTAGGAAATAAAGTCTAACAATAATTATTAAATTAAAAGTAGTAAAATACTTACTTGATTGAGTTTTTACTTGATTTGATGAAGTTCATTCTTAAATTAATTTTATTCTTTTATTACAACAT